CCGTTTCCTTTATATGCGATTTATTTGCAGCGCTTATCAGCATGTGCAAATCTTTAAATTTAAAATAAAAAAAAGTACAAAAAATAGAAAAGATTCAAAAGAATTCAAGATACTTACGCACCCCGCACATCCGTTCGGGTCGAAAGCCCATCCATTCAAGCGCAGCGCTTTGACCATATTAGCACCCAGTTCCAATCCAACAGTTCACCGCGCCACCCCGCCCAAGTTGTGTGTGCGTTTATCTCTTGTTATCCAACCAAAAAAAGAAGAAAAAAACAAAGTAAAAATTGCTTTAAACTAAGGCACTAAGCACTTTTAGCGCCGTACAACTTTGTCAAGCGCGCATAACAAAGTGTTATGTGCCTTGTAACTAACACTATGTGGCCGTAAAAATACCCTTTCAATGCACCACAAACCCATTCCACACACCTCGGAATGAGGAAGGCACACTGGTTAAAAGATCGCAAAAATCTCATGCATCACTTTTGTAGAGTTTCTTTTTTGTTTTTTTTTTTTTTGTCAGTGAAGATGGATAAAATGTATCTTGCCGCAGCGAGATATTTGACAGACGAAAGTACAAAATTTTGTACTGTATTTTTAACACGTGAATAATTTGATTTCGATTATTTATTCCCCATTTTATTATTAGCTTAAATTCATTTAATTATGCTACCTACCAAAGAAAATTATATCGAAATACCTTCTCTTGCTGAGTATGGTTTTAATAGGTTTATGTTTTTAAAAAAGTATCGAAACTTATGCGATAATAAATTAATTATTATAGAAATATTCTATTGCATAATTTCAGCTGTGATTTTGATATCATAAGCCATCTTACCACAATCAGTACCACAGTGCGGCAGACAGTCTCGCCACAGTTTGTTTCTTTTTTTTTTGGGTAGGGGATGAAAGTGTGAAAAAAGTACATTTTTCAAATGTAACGTTTTTCATAGCATGCTTAGCGGGGCGAGTGAAAGTCCTTGCGACAACTTGCCGAGTGTATGTGGAGTCGGGACACGGGACTTGGAACCCGAAACTTGGGTGTGGATATCAATGTAGCTCTTTCTCTGCTGCGCTGTGTTGATTTTTATAGTTTTGTCTAGCAAAACAGTTGCAGATACTAAAACCCCACGAGTTTTTTGCGGTCGTTTTGTTTTCTGCACCATTTGCGTTTTCCTCTCATGTGTTGTGTGTGTGTGTGTGTGTGAATGTGTGTCTGCGTTTTTGTTGTGTGCTGTTTGTTGTGTTGCTCGAGCGTTTGCATCAAGTTGTAAATTTGGCGATTAGCACCCCTTTGTGAGTTGGTGATGTGAGGACAATCTAAGAGGCAACAAAATGTGCTCTGGGCAAGATGCGCGCCGGCTGATAAGTTTTGCTACCTAAAATTAGCATAGGCCTGCAACAGGACAACTGGCACTGACCACAAAGGCAAACCAGCAGCAGCCAGCAGCGAGCAGCGAGCAGCAGCCAGCGGACACTCAAAGCAACAAACGGCGATGATCTTGTTGCTGCTGTTGCTTTATGAATAAAACATTTTGGTTTGGGTGAACGTGGCCAACAGTAGCAGCCGCTTTGGCATCGCAATTGAATTGAACTGCTCGAACTGCGGCCTGTGCAACTTGCAACTGCTGCTGCTTCTGCCAGTCAGCAGTTGCTACAAATGTTTTACAAGCTTTTCAGCGCTTCGTTGTTGTTGTTGTTGTTATTGTGGTTGTTGTTGCCGCTGTTGTGGGCCATTGTTGTTGGTGTTGGAGCGGCAGTTCCCGGAAACAATTCAGTTTAAAAAAAAAAGTTGAACAGAAAAAAAGTCGCTGTTGCAGTCGCTGTCGCAGTCTCGCAACATTATGAACATGGCCAATAAATCGTGAATTGTTCGAATGCTCGAAAAGTTGCATGTTTGATTTCTGCGCCACTTGCATTTACTTTATGATATTATAACCCGGACAACGTTTGACATTTGGCGCTCTTTATTTATGATAACAGCCCCTCCAGTTTTCACAACATTGCAGTTTGTCAGCATTTTGTCGCCGACTTTCGTTGGAGTTTTTATTTTGAATCATTTTTTATTTTTTTCTTTTCAGTTGCCTTTCTCGACCCAAAGCTGCAGGCGTCCATTTGAAGCTAAATAAATTTGGAGCGAGTGAAAAATTGTCAGAGGACAGGAAATGAGTTTTAAATATATATGTGTCCTCTGTAGTTGCACGAGGTAGAAGGGTATGCCCAGCTTACAGACACTTTTCTCAGATATTTAGCTTGGCAACCTTCTTTTGCTTGACATTTTTGGTAGCCTGCAGGCCTTGCCAGGCTGAGATTCATTGAGATACATTCTCAAGCGTCGTGGCAGCCAGAAAGGAGCTGCAAATTGGTTTAACTGTGGCAGCACTAACAGTGTAACACTTGCCCGCAAGCATTATAATATTTTTATATATTTTTCATGATTTTTTCTAGTTATCTGTCTGCTGGGCGAACCCGTTAAATGAGCCGCGAAAATAGTTTCCGTCTTTGCGTCTTGCAAATTGCATGTTCAACGTTAAGGCAAAAAAAATGTGAGTTTTCTTTTAAACTGCCGAGATGATTGAGTTCCCAGCAGAGATGAGAGCGCTTAAGGGTACTTTTTTTTGACACGACACAAATGCTTACAACACAAATTGCATACAAGCACGACAGAACCATTAAATTGCTGTTGAATATTTATTTTTGTAAAATATGCAGAGAATTACATATTAAAAAACATAACTAAATAGCCATAATTTAAAATGATTTATTCAATGGAGCTTTGCTTTAGTGAGTAGTGTTGATATGGTAGATATATATATATAATGCAAACTTGCTTATAAAGAATCACACAATAAGGAGCCATCTCTAATGCGAAATTAAATTGAAGGCGCTGGAAATTGATTTTCAAAGTGACACATTTTCTGATAAAATGCTGACAAAATTTGAGGGCTGTTAAGCCAAGATCACAGTACTGTGAGCATCATTTATTTTTAGATTTTTTCCTATAAGAAATACTATGATTGCTTTTTGGTGATGAACTTAAAAACCATTAAATATAAAATATTTATACTTTAAGTTTTTGTTATCTGCAGAGGTAAACACAGTAAGTGTGATGAGGTAAACACAGCAAGTAGTAATCAGGTGAGGAATCTAATCTAATCTAGATGGGTAGACAAATAACTAATGATTATAAAATATATAACTGTGAGAATATTGCATTTTTTGCTTTAGTTCTCCATTTCGTATGTATTCGACACTGGGACTTTTTCTACATGCAGCGAAAAGTTGCAACATATCCATCAGCAAAGGGATAATATTTTAAAGCATGTTTACATACATTAGTGCCTTGACAAATGTACAGTTTTATCTGATTAATATTGAAATAGCTCGAACCATTTTGTATTTTGTTTTGTGGTACCTGCAAAGCCCACACCCATAATTGATTTAATTAAAAGTCGCGCACTCAACCGTTTAGCGTGGCATGCAAATGAATTGCAACAACAAACAACTGAACGGAATCAATCAAGCGTGGCCCCAATTCCAAGTAGATATATATATGGTGGCCCCCTGGTGCCAGGGCTGCACACATATCGAATTTCTCTCCGTTTGATTAGGTTTCAATGGCTGCGAACTTCCGCCTGAAAATGAAAATGTTTATTAAAACTTTTCACTTTTACATAAATTTTGTTGCAGCCACATCAGCAGCAGCAGCAGCAGCTGTAAGTTAAGTAACCACACCCAATGTGCCACCATATGTCGATGGGACACGCCCCCAACGTGTCCTATGTACAGTGTGTGCACACTAGTGTCGTCTCGCTCTAGCTTCCTGCCCATTGGATGCGCCAATTAAACCGGTTTGTGCCCGTTTCGCAATCAGTTGGCCAATGCCAGGCTACAGCCATTTTCAGTGCCAGCTGTGCGGCAGCCAGCAGCCAGCAACCAGCAACTGTTGTCTTATATACCACAAGGTGTAGCATACATATAATAATTGGCAACTGTCTGCGGGTCGTTGCTGTTGTTGCTGCTGTGGGTAGCTGGTTGGGTGCTTGGCTGGTCTGCGCAAGTGCCTCCACTTGGGTGGCCGGGCTCCAGGTTCAGCAGCAGTTGTCTAAATGTTTGCGCACAGATGCTGCTGCTGCTGCCACTGCTGGGTGGCAGCGAAAAGCGTTCATCGAGCTGGGAGTCAAAGCAAATCGCAAAGCGCTGTCCAAAGTAAGCTGAAATATGCTACATCAACTGAGTGCTGTGCTGAGTGCCAGCTACATTGATTTTTATACACCCTAGAATTACGTTTTCGTTGGGTATGCACATTTCAACATCAGTTTGAATACCATTATGTGTAATCGATTTACCTTTTGCTTTTGGTATTTAGTATATTGGGTATATAGACTTTTACTGCTTAATTAGCTATTTCTCATTGATTAGTTCATTGTTCAGAATATCACTCTTAAGAAATCGTTTAGATCGTTAACAATGTTTAAAAAAGGGTATCATGATGTAATTATTATTACTCATTTTCTGATACATATCTGATGTATTAAGCAAACATATATGTAGTTGTAATATTAAACAGAATCAATGCACAAGTGAAGCAATCTTAATAAAGATAATCTTTTTTAACGCATTCCTTTACATGTGGGCTTAGAATCTGAACTTTAGACCATGTTCTGTTACCCTTTCCTTAAATAACTACATTTTTTGTTGGAATAGGTTATATTTTGACTTGTGTTAGTAGAATTGGTAAATATGTAATCACTATGTATTATATATGTAGCTAACTAAGCAACTATCAGTCGAAAGATTTTTTCGAAACTTACCAGTCGTAATTTCTATTATGCTCTAGTTGTTGTTCTTGTTTATTTTTATCACTTGTTAAATAAACTCGAAAATTGCCAACTCAAAGAACTATATGGTTTATGTCAAAAATATTACTGAAAGAGACAAAAAGTAGGCAATCGCAGGGACTGCTTTCAATCAAATAAATAGAGTAGTTCAAAAGTGAGTTGTTTTGAAAAATATGCATATAGTATTTTTCGTTTACTATGTTGTTCCATTTCGTTTTGAGTACACAATATGTTGTTATCAGGTCTATAACAATTTTTGTATTTTAGTTCCAGTTGTGTCTACCGGAAGCACACTAAAGCTAAACAACATTACTGTTTGCTTGCCAAATTTTGGCCTATGTACAAAGAGAAACTTATGCTCAATTGTTATACAAGTTTTTGTGTAAGTTGTGTTGCGTGTGTTTGTTGGTTGTGTTGTGTTGTAAATTTAAAAATGACAAAGACAAATTAAGTAGATTATGTGTGAAATCATGCTAAAAATCCAAAATAACACTTAAGAGCTAATAACGCGCAACGCTGTGAAACCACTTTGAATTATTTTTATTTATATTTGTATTTTTTGTTGTTTTTTGTTTTGTTTTGGGATCCAACGAGATCTGTTCCAGTGATTTAGTGATCCATATCTCGGCTTCAACGTATATGGCTAGTGATTACGCAGCGCCTCGTTAATGACACCCAATATGTTGATTTGCAGATCTGTGAAGGCCACCGGCTCCAGGTGTGCCTTGCGTATTTTCATGGCAACGGCCTTAAAGAAGGCACCAATTTCATCCTCCTCCGTGGCCATAGAACAGGCGCCCAGTGGAAACAGTGCCTGACTAGCCGTCGAAGGTGTATTGGCCGAATTCTGAAATCGTGTCGATGTCGGCGTGTGCACCTCCAGCTTAGGTTGCGCATATTCGCTGGCAGTTTGCAGTTGATGCTGTTGCAATTGCTGCGGCTCCAGACTACTGCCAGTTTCATTCAGCTGCTGATCGGGCTTGGAGAGCGCATTGCTAACACTCTGTACGGCCATATAAACCGAGTCCTCATTATTTTCATAGCTAACAACATGCTGTTGCTGTTGTTGTTGTTGTGTGGGTTCTTCTGTTGTTGCCGTTGTATCCATATCCTCATTCTCATCCTCCTCATCGTCATCGTGCACTACATCGCCATTTATATAGTTTTCAATGTCCATTTCATCATAGCTAGCCACACACAGCTCGCTAGCCTGTTGCACCTCCTGCTGTTGCTGCTGCTGTTGTTGTTGTATTGTTGCAGATAGCTCGGCTTTGGTTGGTCCCGTTAGCGGCGGCAGTGTGGACATATTCAGCTGGGAGGAGCTGCTGGGCGATGCCTCCAGAGTGCTGACCTGTGGCTCGGAATGCCGCAAGGGCGATTGAGTTCCCAAATGCTCATCCAGCTCGCCTACAGCCTCATGCTTGGGCAGCAGCAAACCTAACGTGTCGCCATCGCTGCAAGTTTAGATATTGAAGAGATTATATGTCTATATCTTTGAAACTCCTTAAATATTTAGCAATCACTTGCTGGCTACAAGTGTCTTAAATCTATGGATACGAAGGAGTTACAACAATGTTTTCAACATTTTGAAAGGATTTTCAAACAGGGCTAATGAATAATTTTATTTAGAAGTTTGAAAATGGTTTTGTGGTCTATCAGAGAAAAGATAAACATAGACCCATCGATGGAATAAGAAACCAAATGCAATTTCTGAATCAGCTAAAATGATATATCTTTAGAGCTTTTTATAAGGATTCAGTCAGCATCCACAAATCAAAATCAAATAACAAATATTTTGTATACTTACAGCGACTTTTGTTGTATGTATTTTTGTAGAAAACCGAGCGAATCGTAGTGTTTCCAGCGCGATGTGACGTCCATATGCAGTTGGGTTTTCAGACGTTTGTATTCGCGTGCATATTGATCGCGCAGTGCCTTCCACTTCTGCCTGCACTGCTTGACTAAGAGTGGTTGGAAATGTATTAGATAGCTATGCATATTAATTATATAGAAATCTAGTCGGCAGTTACCTGGCTTTTTCAATTTGCGCGCTATTTCATCCCAGACTTCATGCTTTAGTTTGACATTGCGATAGTTTTGATTGCTGTAGTTGTAGATCATATCCTCTTGCTCGATGAGTGTGATTAGCTCTTTCTCGAAGTAGCTCTCCAAGTTGAGATATGTGTGTATGGGATCATCATCATCCTCATCGGCATTGCTTTGATTATTGCGCGTCGAGTTTTGATTGACAGCACTCGCAGCATTTACACAATCAACGAAATCGTTGTAGAGCGTTTGATTTGGTGTCTCGCAAGTGACCGTCATTGTTGTCGTGGACCCAACACCATTTCCACTGGCATCACTCAAATAGTTCCAATTGGTGTCCTGGTGTGGTTGCTGCTGCTGCTGTTGATGTTCCAGCATTTGTCCCGCCATAAGCGCACTCATGAGGCCACGTGTCGCATCCGGTTTCTTATCAACATTTGCAGCAGTTGTTGCTGTTGCGGTTGCCGCCGTTGACACCGTTGTCGTTGCTGCTGCCACAAAGGTGCAATTTTCCAGCATTGTGCCATTTCGATCCTCGATTTTGATATTGGCAAATTTGCTGGGCTCAGCGGATAAATTAAGGTTTTGGCTGCTGCTGTTGCTGTTGCTAAAAGAGTTGTTGTTGTTTGTGGTGTTGTTGTGCCCATTGTTGTGGATGCCGCTGCTGTTGTTGGTGGTGGCGACATCAGTGCTGGTCATATATGGCAGCGTTGCAGTAATGAATATGGTTGCATTATGGCCATTCTGTGCACCGCGTGAGCGATAGCTGCAAATGAATAGAGAATATGCTTCATTCTGAGTATCTATTTTGCTTTGAATTTGCTGCTGTTTTTACTTGCGTGCCAGCGCATAGGGACGTAGAAAGTCCAGTTCCTTAAAGTACTTCCACTTGACGTTGCCTTTGGTATTCAGTTTGGCGCGCTTTAGCTCCCGGCAATATTGATCCCGCATCGCCTTCCATTTGCCCTTGCATTGCGTATCTGTCAATTAATTATTTAGCAACAGTTTCTGATTTTAAGCTAGTTTGTGTCTATAAATCACCTGTCCAACCCACACGACTGCCGATTTCCGTCCACTTCTCATCCTTGCTTTTGGTGCTGCGATAGAGCTGATGTTTGGGATTGTAGAGCGCCTGCTCCTGCGAGACGAGCGATATGAGTATGAGCTCCTTGGGTATGCTGACCACATTGTCGTACAGGCTATGTGTGCTACCGAGATTCACGAGCTGTGAGCTGCCGCCAACAAGTGCTTCCGCATGCTGTGGCTTCTGCTTCACCATTTGTGACACATCCTCCGCTTTGGCCATATACGCATCCGTCTCCGTATCCGTATCCATTTGACTTTGACTTACAAACGGCAACGAAACGCGTTTAATGTTGGCAAGCGCATCGGTCTGTCGTTGTTGATGTTGTTGGTGCTCTTGAATTTGCGCCGCTTCGCTGGCGCACTGTAGTGTTTCCATTGTTAGTGGCTGTATTTGTGGCTCATTTTGGCGGCGACGACGTGCCGAGTTAATTGTTTTCAAAAAAGAGAAACAAAATTATTTTGGCCCCAATTTCGTTTGCCGTCCAAACAGCTGTTTAATCGCACGCGCAGCAGCTGTGTGTTGATATTTATTTCGCATCGATATCGATATATCGATAGCAGAAAATCCTATTTACGATATTGATCTATGTTAATTCTCTTTGGCAGCAGCTCTTACACCTTCGCCGTTACTTGCATTTTTGCCTCGGTTAGAGGCGGATGGAATATTTTTTTACAAGTTTCAAATAATATTAAACAATAAATTTATTCTACAGAAGCAAATCAAACATTTCTTTCAGCGGTATACTTCTGTTAAGTGAGGAGTAGTTGTGTTAAGTATTCAGTGCTGCAAAGTTTAGGGCAGTAGGCAATGCTCATCATTGAGCATGCGCGTGCGTGTTGTGGTTGGCGCTATAGTTTTTGGAAATTGCTTAAAATTGTTGCATTTGTCTCTTGCCATAGAACTAATCCAATTAGTTAATTGCATTACCGTCTCAGGCATTGCGACGAAACCATCATAACAGTGTAAGTTCAATATTTATGTCGACATTAGTTTGTCTCACGACGCGTTCTTGTCTGGTCTTGTGCGCTCCAACGGTTTTTTTGTTTTCGGAATTTGAAAAATTTAATGCTTAATCATGCCGCCGAAAATTGATCCAGAAACCCAAAGCCTCTACGATGAGATCAATGGCATGATACAAAAGTTTAAGGTTACAATATTATAAATTTTCATAAATTGAATCTAAATAATTATAAAATTTTTGGAGATATAATTATAATAATATATCAAATATAAGTAACAGTAATATATAACTTAATATGTTGAGAATAAAACCTCAGTAATATTTAAGCATAAATAACGATCTAAGATCACTGTAATTTCTAAAACTCGAATTAAACACCTTTTAAATCTTATATATTTTAGGCCTGCTAGCTTTGATTTAAATAGTCATTGTATGCATTCAAATTGTAAATTTGTCTTCTGAATGTTTTAGTTTACCATCACCATTTAAATATTTATATATATTGTTAACTATCTCATGCTTAGGATGATCAAAAAGCGAAGGCAGACTGCACACTGGCCGACAAATGCGGCGACATGGGCGATGTGTCCAAGATACGCTTCTCATCGAAAAAGACTTTGAAGGGTCACATCAATAAGGTGAATTCAGTTCATTTTGCTGGCGATTCACGTCACTGTGTGACCGGGTCACTGGATGGCAAACTGATCATCTGGGACACCTGGACGGCCAACAAGGTGCAGATTATACCATTGCGATCCGCTTGGGTGATGACCGTTGCCTTCTCGCCGTCGGGCAACTTTGTTGCATGCGGTGGCATGGACAATCAGTGCACCGTCTACGATGTGAACAATCGCGATGCATCCGGAGTGGCCAAAATGGTGCGCGAACTAATTGGCTATGAGGGTTTTCTCAGCTCATGCCGTTTTCTCGATGATGGCCATTTGATAACCGGCTCGGGCGATATGAAAATGTATGTAAAGGAAAAGAAAAAAACACAATAAGTTGGCTCTGATTCTTAAATCTTTACAGCTGTCACTGGGATTTGGAGAAGGGCGTCAAGACGATGGACTTTAATGGACATGCTGGCGATATTGCCGGTCTCTCATTGTCGCCCGATATGAAAACGTATATAACCGGATCCGTGGACAAAACTGCCAAATTGTGGGATGTACGCGAGCAGGGCCACAAGCAAATGTTCTTCGGACACGATATGGATGTATCCTCTGTTTGTGTATGTTATCCCTATTCTACTGCTATTTCTTGATCTTTCATTGAATTCATTTTGTAGTATCATCCAAGCGGGTTTGGCTTCGCCTCCTGTTCGGAGGATCAAACGGCACGCATGTACGACTTGCGTGCGGATCAACAAATCGGACTCTACGAGCCGCCACAAAAAAATACGGGCTTCACTTCGTGCGGTGCGTATTTGAATTTTGTTTTGGTTTTTTACTTGTGTGCTAGATGTATATAAATACATATATATATATATTCATTTGGTGCGCTTTGCCTGGCTTTTCTTGCGCTTTTCTTTGGCTTACCTTGACTTTAGACTTTCTTTAATTTGTAATGTGATTTTGTGCTCTATTAGCCTTATCGACCAGCGGTCGCTACTTAATGTGCGGCGGCATTGAGGGCAACGTGCACTCGTGGGACACAGCGAAGCAGAAGCATACGGGTAGGTTTCAAAATGGATATATAGAAAAGCCTAGAACATGGTGTAACTAGATCAGATGGTGACATGAGCTATTTTGAGGTATCAGCCTTAAGAACATGCGAGTTAGATAGAGATTTTCCGAGTATGGAAAGAATGGCAGCTGATTTCTTTTATTTTGCCTGTCTGACCGCAAAAAAACATTCTACAATCATTATTTGCAACTGTGCAAATCAAATAAAATGAAAGATAATCACAGCAACTGCTTAACAGCTGCCAAGTCTGGTGTGACAAGAGACACAATTACTATGTTACCATTTCATATAGTTACACCATAGCCTAGGCTTCTCCCAACAGACAATTGATTTTTCATTATTGACATACTTTGCTCTTTCTCTGTCTCTCAGGCACGCTGTCTGGTCATGAGAATCGTGTAACTTGCATCAGCCTGTGCCCCAATGGCATGTGTCTAGCCACGACCAGTTGGGATCAGCAAGTGCGTTTGTGGCTCTAATCGCACCACGCACTACGCTTTCTACTCTCTACACTCTTCACACTTGGTTCAATATACGTAGTCTAATTGCATAATTTATAGCTTAGTACGCTGAATTAACATTGACATGATATTGCAAATAAACTGCTTGAGGAAGCATCACAAAAACTGAACAAGCCCTTGAATTTAATCCAGATTAACTGAATTACTCGAAGACAAACCCATATTTATGATATATTTTATATTTAATAGTTAATTTCAATCGAAGAGACGCATTCGATTTGATTAGTTTTTATTTGAAGCAATCTCCCTGACGCGCTGATCCAATGGATACTTTGGTACGAAGGACTCTAATCGCTGATTGCGACGTATCGAGCACTCCTGATATTCTATCCAATCTGTCATGGTTTTGTTATGGCACACCTCCGAATTGCTTTTTGTGTACACATCGCGACGCAGATCCATGTAAAATACACGTTTCTTATGCTTATGCTTATAGATATGTCGATCTAACCAGGACACCATCTTGTGCTTTCCATACGGTATTGTGGTGCCTGTGCAAACGTTGGCCAAATGCGCTTCAGGATTGTACATTTTGTTCGGATTTTCGGCAACTTTAACACGCTCCTGTTTTCGCGAACTTTTGGTGACTGCACCCTCCTTCAGTTGATTGCCGTGTGCTACGCTCCACGGATTATATATCCATTTGCCGTATTGATCTTTGCTTAGCTTTGCCATTTTGAGCGTTGCCACCGTTGTGCTACTCTTATTAACGGATCGACCCCATGTGATAGGATTAGCGGTTGTAATTTTCATGGAATTGCCCATTGTTTTCATTGAGGTTGTGGTTTCTCTTTTTGTCTCCATCCACAACTTGGGAGTGGCTTTAAAAGTTATTTCATTAGGTAAATTCTCGGTTTGGGCCTGAACATGCTCCATCGATGTTCCTAGCAGTTGCATAAAGTAATTGTAGTCCTTTTTAGGGGCATGAGTGGTGCGCAATGAGGGCACGGTAAATATCTCTGGCACCAAAGATAACTATTGAAAGCACATCTAAATTTGACTACACATATTATCTATATATTCTATATACTTACATGTATTGCACTCCATAAAAAAATATGCAAATTTTGTACATTCATCTCGGATGCTTTGCTGGTTTTTTAAGAGTATTATTATTGTTGTGGAATATATGTAATTTCTTTTGTGAGTAAAGTTGTATTATTTTGCAAAGTGTGTTTTGATTCAAAGGGTAAACTATTGTGCCGTTGCTAGTAGAGAAAGAAATTATATCGAAGGCTTGCTTGATCTGTAAAAAAATTTAAATAAATATTGCAGCAAAGAGTTATACTTTTTTTTTAATATATTTTTTATATTTTTCTTATAAAAAATACTTATATAATTACAAAGATTTTTAGCTGCTGCGATATTTGGCGCGATTTTGTTTTTTTTTTTGTGAAATTATTTTTTTTTTTTTAATATAACAAAGTAGCAGCAAAGGATTTTTTTTTTTTTGATTTGTTTGTGAAGTAATTTAAAACAATTCACTTTATCATTCAACATAATCAAAGGAAAAGTGAAACGGGCAGGGAAAATAGATAGTCGAAAAATTCTAAAAAAAGAACACTAAGAAAAAGGTGAAGATTTGCATAAATAATTAACGGAAGAATAGACGGAAAGATGAGAGTAAGTGGGAGAAGAAGGAGTACAGTCAGATAGATACATTTATTGCGTTGTGTAGGAATTTGTATTTAGTTTATCAGACTCTCGGTTGAACTACTAATGCGTTGTTCTCTTGTTTAGTTTTTTTTTTTTTTTGGTAAAGGAAATAGAAGTGAGAGAGAGACAGAGAGAGAGAGAGTTAGAGAAAAGGGAGAGAGAGAAAGAGAGAACTTAAACGGAGAAGCCATCGCCGGTGGGATCAAGGATCCAGGGATAGTTATTGGGGCACTCCATGCAAGTGAACAGACGCAGCGTCTCGCCGGGCAGCTCCCGTGTCGTCAGCGGACAGGCGTTGGGCAGGGAGCAGTAGGGTTGTCCCTTGACATCGCACTTCTCCTTCCACTCCTGGAAGTCGCGCAGCGAATTGAGCTCTGTGGGATTCTGCATCCATTGGATGACCTGCAGATTGGTCACAAAGAACACATCGTTGCGGCCGAGCATCTCCTCAATGAACTTGACCAGCTCATCGCGATACTCCTTCTTCGATTTCAGCCACGAGGCATGGAAATGCAGACCGAGTGGGGCACGGTTGCTGTTGTAGTGGCGATTGAAATTGTGGCGCAGAAGACGCGCAAACTGCTCGCCGGAGGCAACGTTCGAGCAGGAGTCAACCATGTGGCAACCGGGCAGCGACTCATCAAATGTGGGATCATCGCGACGATCCAGCTCATTCATGACCATCTCCCAAACGGGATGGCTACGCGACGGGCAATTGTGGGCATTGCCATTGCACTTGTGCGGCATGCGGAAATACAGGGTATATGGCCAGATGGGCACACGGCCCAGCGATGCTGTAATCGAGGCATCGTACACAAAGAACTGATCGGCCATCATTTCGAATTGCTTGTTGCCACCCACACGCAGGTAAGGAGCACGCATGCCAATGATGGAGCCATCGGTGATATTAGCGAAACGCTCAACAATCAAACGGGAGCCGGCCATCTCGGCCAGCCAGTCATCATAGCTGCCACTCGACCAGTAATTGGGATCATCCTTGTGCGTCAGCGAGAACACAGAGATCTCATGACCGCGACGATGCAGATCCTGTACAGCCGAATAGTTTGTGTACTTGTGCGAGACAAAGAAGGTGCCCTTGATGGAGCAGCCATTGGGATTCTGGTGTTGTCCATTGAAGATATCCTCGTACAAATCGATATTGTCCACATTGACGGCACCGTTGAACGTAATCGTGATCATCTGTGGCACCTGCTGGGGCTCAATGCCGCCGGGAATACGTGTTCCGTCCGCCGAGCAGAAGCAATCGGGCAGCGCACACTGTGTTGAATCGCATTCGGGTGCACGATTCGGATCCTCATCAACAGCTGCAAGAAATAGGAATTTTTACAATATTTATTAGTTAGGTGTGAGTTGGCAATTGCATCTTTGTCATCCTGATCAAGGATATAAATCTTATGTAGTCAAAGGTATATACTTGAATATTTACAAATTGTTTAATTAAGCTGATATTTAAACTATGCTAAATTGAAACTTACAGCATGCATTCTCATCGGACTCGTCCTTGCAGTCGGGCTTGCCGTTGCAGAAGAGCTCCTTGTCCAGGCACTCGCCATCACCACAGGACAGCTTGCCATCGGGACAAATGGGCTCATCCGTTTTCAGAATGGGCTTCGCCTTGCGCGGCCCTGTGCAGAAGTGGATTAGGAATTCATATGTTAGATATTGGCTTAAATTATGGTTTTTGGTTTGGTTTGGGTTAGTGACAACGATTGTCTAAATTTTGAAGTGAGAAGTATACAAGTGAGTGTGAGGGAGGTTAGGGTGCTTTTTATTGATGGTGATTGTTGTTGCTGTTGTTTTTGTTGTTCTTGTTCTTGTTGTTGTGGTTGTGGTTGCTTCGCATGTTTAGTTGATAAGTTCCAAAGTTCACTATATCTACATAAATACATGTATCTGTCTAAGTGCTATGTACAAGTGTTGTTGTTGGTTTTTTTTCTTAGTTTTGAATTTGAATTTGAATTTTGTTTGCTTGCTGGAGGCAGTCAAGACACACTTACTCTCTTTCTCATCGCAGTTAGTCACCTTGGCCTTCCAGTCGCAGGTCTGCTTAAATACATCGAAGGCCAAACCGGAGGGGCACTGAATTTCTTTCAGGCCCGACTTAGTACATCTAAAAAATAAATTTTTTGTTTGGTTTTTGCTGTTTTTTGTTTCGCTTTTTGGTTTTTTGCTTCGCTTTGCTTTTCGTTTCGTTGGTGTAATTGTTTTTTCACTTCTTCCCTGAACTGTTCGTTTTACTAGCTAACAGAACTTTGGCACTGGTTTTCTGGGATTGCTTGGTTTGGGTTTGATTTTGAATAATGCAATGATGCGATCGTTTAGTTTTTAGTAACAGAGACAGGGAGACGCAAATAAAAGAGCACATAAACACACACGTATAGATAAATTTATAGATATATAGACATAGAGAGACAGAGACAGATAGATGGACACAGACGTTACAGGACAGAGTGTTAGACAGTGTGTAGGATTTTTGTTTTTATTTATTTATTTTTTTTTTTGTTTTGAGCTCGTATTTGAAGTATTCTTTTGGGCACATGGCTCAATGACTGGCTCGGACACAACCCCACTTACTTTGATCGATATCGCAATTCTTGACATTCGTCTTCCAATCGCACAGCTGACGAATGACATCGAACGCCAAGCCGCCGGCACAGCGGATCGGTGCCAATCGACTGGTGCCACCTTCCCCGGCACTGTCGCACCTTTAGATTGTTTTTGATTTTTTTTAAGTGCAAACAAAATTGTTGATGTGAAAACAAAACAAATACATTTTCCCAACATCATTATCATCATGGACTGAATAACATCAGTTTGCAGAAATTGAAGCTAGATCTTAAATGCTTACCTGTAGACTTCACGGCAATCGGTTTCCGTATCCAGACGGAAGTATTCATCAGCGGGACGATCGGCGCATACCTCTTCAACATCAATGCCCTCAAGTTTGTCCTGACTGTGAACTAAAGGAAGGGTAAATGCCAAACAAAAAACATGTGAAAAATTAATTAATTATGTGTTTAAATTTTGTGAATTCTTTTCGAATTCTTTATGAAAGTTAGAAATTTGGGATATTGTCAGTTCTAAGTAGTTCGCATTTATGAATTACATTAATTTTTTTTTAATTGTCTATTTTATTATTCTATAAAAATCTACTACATATATTTCGTTTATAAGACTTGTTCAAAAGTTTAGATGGTTTCTTGTGCTGCTTGGATTTCTGTTAATTTTATTTAATGCAAATATACTTTTTATTATTTAATTATGCACATAATTAATATTAATCGACAGCTTTTAGCATTTATGGCTTTTTATGCCTCCAAGCAACAGCCGAACGACGTTGAACCGGTTTAAGCCAAACGACTTCTAATAGCCAAACAACTCTCGTTTTTATCTTGTCTACTGCCTTTTAATACTCATGGATATCTCTCGACTGGCAAAGTCGGCAAATGAAAACGAAAGGGCAAAGCGAAATTGCTATCACACACAAACATAAATACATCATACATAAGGTGTAAGTGAGATACGTCTGCTAATGGAGCATGTTGTTTACATGGTAAGGTGCAGCTGGTGCTGCCGCTAAACTGGTTTGTGTATTGGCTAATGTGTGGTGGTTGTGTTGGAGTTGTTGCTGGAGTCAGCGAAACCCGTTTGCAGTTTAACTTTAAGTGTATTATTGCATAAACAACATCGGAGTTGTCTCGTCCAAAAATAATAAACGGAACCAATCGCGTTCGTATCAAAATGTTGCCTATGCTAATTTTTATGGCCAACTCCGGCTGTCTCTTGTCCTCTTGCCACAGTTTTTTTCTTCTTTTATTTTTTCCTTATGGTTTTTGTTGTAACATTTCCAGTTTCTGGTCTCGCTCAGGAAATTGTTCAACTTGCAAAATGCGTGGCTATATATGTATATATATACATATATATATATAAATATAAATTTCGATTTATCTCCACTCTCCTTTTGCTTTTCGCCATTGCATGTTGCTAATGATTTATGAAAATATATAACTTTTTTCAAGTTTAATTGCCTTGGCCAACGACCGAGGCGTCTATTGACGTTTATTCTCTATTTCTGTATCTATTTTTCTTTCTTCTTTTATTTATTATTTCTGTTTTGTTGTGCAAAAATCTGTTTATTTACTGCTACCCATTCAGCTGGTAAAGGTCAAGTAGGCGTTGTTTTTTTTTTTGCCAACGTGGCCAACTCAAGTTTTAAGCTCGAGTCTAGGTTTTTAGGAGGTGGGTAACGGGTAAGGGGTATATGGTTTATGGTATATGGTTTGTGGTACTCACCAGCTGCACAGCAGAGCAGCAAAACGCTCAAAATTGGCCACCAACGCGCCATTTTCAGTACCAGCGCTGGCTGCAAGATCGAGAAATCGAATGAAAAAAAACGAATAAATTAGCAAAACTACACTTTTATGGGCACTTGAGGTATGTAGTGGAAACAAGTATTACTTTTAGCGCTCAGCAAATGTAGAAACTGCGGCTATTAACGAGTGAACAGAGGGCACTCTTCCAACACAACAGCCACGCTTACACTAGGTGTTGTCCGCGGACAACGAGTTCTATTTATTAAGCCGTGGTGTGTGCGCCATTTTAGCTCGGTGTGGTGAGTTTCGCGCTAACAGCGGCAAACGACGGCGCCGGCGCAACTTGCTGCCGAGCTTTTGTAGGGGTAAAACCCATGCGACGATTTTGTGGAATCCATTTCGAAAATGCCAAGGCGGTTTCAGCTCTGCTTCTGAGTTCCTGTTTGTGTGTGTATGTGTGTTTGATTTGAAGAAAGGTTAATTAGCTTGGGCGCAGGTGTGAGTTGATTTTGTTATTGTTGCTGTTGGTCTGTGTGTGGGTTTGGGTGTGCGTCCGTGCCTGGTGCTTGCCTGGAGCTGCACCTCTGAAGTGTTTACAGTTTGCTGCCACTAATGCTGGTGGGCAGCTTTTTTTGCTACCCAATGCAGCAATGAGTTGGCAGCTCAGCTGCATAAATCAAAATCTTCACATCAATCATCAGACTGACCCTGAAATTGCGTCTTTGTCTCTTTGTCATCTTGGAATTCTATGAAAAGACGTGTGCAACTCGAAATCTCGATTTCGTAACTGTTTATATACACTGCTCGGCAGGGGGCAAGGAGAATATTGGGTTCGTGAAATGCCTTTCTATCTTTATGTATGTATGTCTCTTTAACAACTTTATCAGGGAGACTACTTATTATCATCTTTGAAGCTTATACCAAAACTTATATTGAATTACAAGAATAATAATATTAATATTAATTTAAATTTATTATTATTTTATAAATAGAGTATGTCGCAGTCGTCTTAGTGTTCATACTCATTCTTCTGTACGTAGTAGTTTTTGAACATGTTTCTTTACACGTTTTTGGCTGCCGCTTGTTTAGTTACTTTTTATTTTCACCCACACTCGTGTGGCATGGCAATTGGTTATACACAGACACCGAAACACACACACACACACACCATTTGCATTTTAACGGCTCTCTTTGCCCAGCCCGCTTAGCCAGAAAAATTGTCGATTCCGCACACAACTTGCAACGCACATTAAATTCTCCTTAACGTGGCTAAGACAGCAGAAAAAAAAGGTTAATAAACCTCCTGCAAATAAAAACAACAACTGCTCCTCCTTCCATTGTTTTCCAGAAACGAGTAGCAACACTTTAATTGTCGCTGAGTCACACATGTTAAGGTTACCTTAAAACTGTTTATTTTTGTTTGTTTTTATTCTCCATTGGCTGAAGATCACGAAATTTTAATTAATGGCAAATTGATTATGCGCTTGTTCAGTTTTGCAGTCGCCCATCTGGTTATGTAAAAAATATGCAGGCGAGCCAATCGAAAAGGGGCTGTTACTCAATAAGTTAAGAGCTCGAATGAGTTGATGATGATGCTGGTAGTAATGACTCCCCTCCGTTTGTGCATATGCAAAAAAAAAAAAAATTAACAAAAAAACAAACAAAAACAAAAATAAACTAAAACGGAGCAAGTTTGCGGATACGAAATTGTTGGGGACGGGCCCAAATATTGCGGACATGTTAAGATTCACATAAAGGCTATAACTATCATTGGCCAGTAGTGTATTATGTAATTACATATTTAGGGATAATAATAAGCTAAATAATACTTAAATGACACGATGAAAATTGGTACTTTAAGCAAATTATATGTGATAAAAATATATTCGTAACTACAGATAACGTCAAATTAAGCGGAGCCTTTAAATAGATTGAGTAAAGTGTAAAAAACAATTTCATTTAATTGCATGCTTAAGCGACCACTTTATAAATTATATAATTAATTTTGCATTACTATATTTCGATCGCTTCATTTTAATATATAATTTTAACATGAATTTCGAACTCGAATTGGGTGTCAAACTTTGCCTGTGCAGTTATTTTAGAGGTAAAACCATGATCAAAATGAGATTGTTTTTGAAAATCGGGCACCTCTTGACAAAGTTACAGTTCTGGAAAGCTTGCAATATTATATATATATATGAAAATTTTGAAGATATAATTTCAACATGAATTTCGAGCTGGAATTCTGTTTCCAACTTTGAATGCAGTTCTCATATAGACGTCAAGACAAGATCAAAAAGACCTGGTTTTTGAAAATCAGGTAACTTCTGATTATTGTTCTGGAAGATTTTAACCAGTCCCCACTCCAAATTTTGAGGTAGATTGTCAGGAACGTCTTTTAGGCCACACCGGCCAGAGGATGACAAGTTAATTTATTTCAAAGGGTCAACGCTCATGAGTTTTGTGTTTTTTGTTTTTTTTTTCAACTCAATTAACAATGACCAACGCTGTGTCCAAGCACATATTTGTAACAAATATTTATTCATATTGTTTGCTGGCTAATTTTTTAAAAACGTAAGAAATGATACACTGTGAAAATACTGCAGGTTCCATCAACAAATGTTTGCTTCAATAAATTTGACTTGCAAATATTAAGATGCAATGATGAAACAGTGAGTTGATCGATTGCTCTGAGTGACAAATTAATTTGAAGGCTACAATAAACATTTAAGAAATATTGACTGGAAACCGATTTATATATCTAATTTATGATTATGACTTGTTAAGTTGATTTACTACTCACTTTTCTAGCAGTTTACACAACATATTTTGTTGAATTCGAATCAGCTTTTCGTTGGTACAGTCCGTAAGTGAACTTGCTGCGTGACTGATCTAGAAAAGTATGGCAATATATACATACATAGTATATGTGGTATGTACAATGTGGCATAGCTATTTCCTGAACTTGAAAACGAGTTTGTCTTGCACTAGAACATGGCACAAATAAAATAATAAATAAAAAACGACGAATGAAAAAACCAAGCCGGCCAACATGGCGTATGTGTGATTTGTTGCTGGAGAATTCTTGAAATTGCACAGATCATTACAACTGCATTTTAATTGGCGCTGTCAATTATCGTTTCAATTTGGTTTCAATGGCGTCAAGTGAAGGGTGCGACAGTTGTGATTCAATCTTAAGATAAATGTTAACTCGTATTAAAACTAGCTGTATGAATGTGTGTGTGTGTGTGTAGAAGATGCCACATAAATGTTGTTTACCTTCTTTGGCGAATTGCAGTTTTTATTTCTTAATTTTGATTTTGCTTTTGATAGTAACAATTAATTTCAGTTAGCAACGGTTTTTACACTTTGGTGATATAAGCGCCCGCATATTCGAACACGCTGATTATAATTATTATTATTATTACTGTTTTTAATCAACTGTTAAACTGGTTTTTCAATTAGAGTGAAAATGTTGGTGATGGCACCTCAAGCATTCACGAAGGCATTGAAATTAATAGTTTTCGACGAGTGAAAACCTTCTTTTTTTACGAAAACGAATTTACATAATTTAATCAGCAAAGATTGCCCTCAATTTTTTATTTATTTATTTTTTTTTATGTTTCTTGTGATTTGTCTTTGAGCAGTATGGTTTTATAGATTTTAAATTGTAAGCGAGATAAAGGTTTGGCAGACTAAAATTTATTATTGACAAACAACTGACAGAGTGCATTTTTAATTTAAAATTCAGTTTTATTATAATAATGGGTCTTTTCACAAATCATCGGTTAATCAACGCAAATTATTATCATACTAATTGCAGTTTGAGTTGAACCCACCAATCCATATGCAAAGATCATCAACACACAGAGCAGATGAGGCGAAAAAGAGAAATTGCCTTCGAGAAAACTGTACAAAAACGGAATTGTTAATGAAGGAAATGTTCGACGAGCGCTTCGAGCTGAAGATGAGCCTGTAAACAGTGAACTGTAAACTGTAAACTGTGGACTGTAAAAACGAAATGCATAACCATAAAGAAAGACACACACACACATACACACACATACACACAAACACACACACACACACAAAATACACAGTTGCATAAGTCGCATTCCCTTTCTCCCTCTGGCTCTTCCCAAATCTATAGCAACCCATTAAAACCAAAGCAAACCGAGTGAATCGAAGAGACTGCGTTTAATTTATGGCAAGTAGAGAGCAGTGAAGGCCTTTAAGCGATAACTGAGTTTCTTTTCGGTGTATTTAAATGTTTAAATGTTTATCTTTCAATTTCCATTTCCATTTGCACAGCTCATCGATTCATCAGTTCAGCTGCATTTTATCATCTATGCTTTGATCTACAAAACATGCTTCTACTTCGCCTTCCATTATGCCGTGAGTTTATTTTCCAAACTATCTGTCAATACATAAATTGTCAACTTTGGTTTCCGTATTAATGTGCCCTTTAGGTTTTTGTTGTTTGTTTTGGTATTTATGGATTTTATTTGCATGCTATTGAAAACCACTCTTCAGATACACTCAAATACAGTTTCCTTTACAAACTTGTCTGGCGAGATTAAAATACACTCAGTTCTTTTCCTGGCATATCTAATGAGCAGTTGACCAGAACTAGGAAGCAGATTCGACAAGTCGCCGTCAAGACAAGGGTGCCGACGTCAATTGGATGCGGATGGCGTACATTGATTGAAAGCCAATGCAAATGCATTGAATATTGATTTATCATTTATGAGTTTCTTTCATAAAAAACTATAATTTATGTTTGACTGTTGCTATATTTACATATGCTCATTATAAAAATCATATCCATAGTCAAACTTAATTGAAACATTTGATGGACATATTATGCATACATGTGTCTTTGCTGTTGTTGTTTTTTTAATTTTAGGCAATAAAATATTGTTAACATCGGCATATCAAATCACTTGAGTGCTCTTTAAGCAAAAACATTTGCATTTCATCCACTGTGCGCTCGCTTTCATGTACGACTTATGCAAATTGTCCACTTTACAACTAGTTCACCTTAACAAGAGTAAAAGTTTGCGAACAGAGTCTTTCACATTGTTATGAATGTGTCTTGGGAACTGGTTTAGGCTGCTAAATCAGCTAAGCGTTTACCTAATAATTACACTGCCTTAGATTAAGGTATAGAAAATAGTGAAATATTTACTGTTTTTATACGTAGATTATAAATTTCCGCATATTTATTAATGTATCTTAAGACAAATTTATGGCATTTGATAGTTTTACAATTGTGTTTTACTGTGGACTGAGAACTGATAAAGTACTTTACTTTTGTTCAAGTCTTGCAGCTAAAAGTAGAAGGTATTTGGATCATGTCAAAAGTAAGTCATCAGTGCAGCCTTTTTATTATTACGATGGTTACTTTTGAAGCACTCTCCATGGAAGCGGCTTACCTTGATTGTCGATAAAACTTATTCATGCATCAAAAATCACTAAAACTACATACAAAACAAAATGTATACTATATAAGTAAGATTCAATATACCTACGAGTATTGATTTTGCCACCTGGAAATTTATTTATTTATTTTTATTATTTATTTTATTAATTTAGTTTGCGGTGCGCTGCAAAAATGTGTAAGCCACATAAATTTGTGTTGGCACTCATATAACTTTGGTATTTCCATGACAGCCGAAATTCGCAATGCTTAAAATTAATTATCGACTGTGGTGTGATTTGTTTTGATTGCTTAAATCGCCGGCGGGGACTGTCGAAATATTCCCTATGAATTGAGAACCTGTTGCAAATGACCAACCAATAATCATATCCATAATAGTCGGCATAAATTAGTCACAAATAAATAATAAAAAGCTCTTTAATAAACAGAAATTTTGCATTTGAATATTATGCACATGCTCCTATGCCACCAAATATGCATAAAATATATATGCTAAGTATGCCTAATTCTAGACCGGTTGCTACGCTTTTGAAAACCAGTCTAGGAAATACTGAAATAGTTATAAAATAAAAGAGAGAAACAATTTACATATGAAATAATTCACAGCTGAAATCGAAACTGAAAACCGAAATCCAAAACGCGTTTTGTTATTCAAATTATTGTTTTTGTTGGGATAATCCAAAACTGGTTAGTAAGTCAGTGGGTAGTGCGCACAAATTGGGTTGATTGTTGACTATACTCGTACTTGTACACGTTTGGAAATATACATATATATATATATATATATATATATATATATATAGGTAGTTATTGGGACGCCAAGTGATGTGTCTGTTGCCATGTAGAAGAAACTGTTGCCAAACGCATCACAAAGTCTGTTCGCATTGGCATTTTTATGGCTGCTTTTGATACTCAATAGATTAGCACCAATGATAATAAACAAAATGATGAAATATACTTTTAATTTGTTTCTTTTAAAATTTGTCGTTTTTTTTCGTTTCGTTTTTGTTTTACTTTATTCTTTATTAGGTATTTTTAAATATACACATACAAATTAACGTAAAACTACAAAAATGAGTATATAAACAAAATTTATTCTTTTGTTTGCTGTTTGTTTTTGTTCTTGTTTACTTGTTCTTCTCTTTGTAAATTTTATTGTTTTCTTTGTGTTTTTTTTTTGTTCTTTTTTGTTTTTTGTTGGTTTTTGTTTGTTTTTAATTATGTTTCAATAACGTAACACAGCAGACTTAGCCGGCGCGCGTTGTTTTTTTAACGTTTTATTTTTTTGTTTGTTAACGCGGCACAGTCAAAAAATATAAGTACAATAAAAAAAGTCTTGAGTATATGGGAATAATAAAAGTCGAGTATTTTAGATGACTGTAGGAATTTGGATTGGGGCTGCTTGGATGCTAATGCGCTTTCGCTCTCTCTTTCACTCTTACTCACACTCGCTTTTGCTCTCACTCTCTTTATCTCTCTTGTACGCTGACTTAGAAGAAACCATCGCCGGTGGGATCATTGACCCATGGGTAGTTATTGGGGCATCGGACACAGGTCTGCAGATTGATGGTCTCCCCGGGAACCTCCTTGGAGGTCAGCTTGCAGGTATTTGGCACCCAGCAGGCTGGCTTGCCCTCAACGGTACACTTCTCCCTCCAGGGCTCGAAGTTCTTGACCTCGCTAATTGTGCGTGGATTTTGCATCCACTGTATCACCTGTGTCATGGTCACAAAGTAGACATCATTGTGATTGGCCAGGATCTCATCGATCCAGTAAAGGAAGGCATCCAAGAATTCGGGATTGTTCTTCAGCCAGGCGGCATGGAAGTACAGACCCAGAGGAGCACGATTCTGATCGTAATGACGATCGAAATTGTGATTGAGGAAATTGTAGAACTGATCGCCCGTCAAGATATTCGAGCAGGAGTCAACCATGGCACAGCCGGGCAGATACTCATCATTGGCAGGATCCTCGCGACGATCCAGCTCATTCATGACCATCTCCCACACGGCATGCGATCTCGTCGGGCAGCTCTGCAGATTGCCGTGGCAGCGATGTGGCATGCGGAAGTACATTGTATATGGCCACAGTGGTGGGTTCGATAGCGGTGCCGTTATGGTCGAGTCATAGAGGAACGCCTGCTCCTCCATCATGGTGAACTGATTGTTGCCACCCACGCGGAGATAAGGTGCACGCACACCCACAACCGAATTGTCCGTAATATTCGCATATTTCTCCGTAATAATTCTCATGCCGGCCATTTCCTTGGCCCAATCATCAACGGTGGCATTCGACCAGAAACGCTCCTCGTCGTTGTGGGTTATCGAGTGCACAGCGATCTCGTGACCCTTACGTGATGTCTCCTGCACGGCGGAGTAGTTGGTGTACTTGTGCGATACGAAATAGGTGGCCTTGATGTCGCAGCCATTGGGATTCTTGCGATTCTTGAATATCTCCTTGTACAGTTCAATGTTGTTGTTGTTGATGGCATCATCGAACGTTATAGTGATCATCATGGGCACATCCTTAGCGGGCAAATCTCCGGGTATCGAGGTGCCATCCTCCGAACAGAAGCAGTCAGGCAGCACGCACACGGCAGGATCACAGGGTGGTGCACGATTCGGATCGTTATCGATGTCTACAATAACATAAAAAAAAAATACAAATTTATATACATATATACAAGAATACAAAAGGTTGTATTACATTAGTCAGAATATTGAGGCTTTAGATATAAATTTAAATTATTATCAATTTTGGTATACTTTTAATTCTTGGATTGGACCTTTTCATATTTCTTATTTTCTTTAATAAATTTTTATTACTGGGTTAAATTTAATAAAAATCGTTATTATTATTAATGTTACTTAAAATACAATATTGATAAACTAACTTGGTAAAAATCTCTAAAGGGAAATTAAAATGTAAATTGATAACTGCTAATAATTTAGGGTTCCTCTTTTCAAGACTTTTACACTCAGTAAAATGTATATTCTTTGTGTTTGGTTTTTCTCAGTGTATTTGTGCATTGTTTCAATAATTTGTATTCTGTTTGCGATGTTTCGGTAAAGTTCAATCAACTTTATCGACACATATTTCAAACAATTAGCTAACAGTACATGGGCGTCTGTCTGTCAGTTCAACGAACTGCACCGAGGCCTGGAAAACCAATCACAAATGAGCCAGGCGTCGGGAAAGCCACCGTCGCCAAAACGCAAAGTGAATGGAAAATGTCTGCACAATTTCAGTATCTTATTTTTTTTTTTTTATTATTATTATAAATCAATTTTTACTCAAGTTTTGTTTGAGCCGAGTCGTCGACGTTAATCAAGCGAAGAGCTTTGACTGGGCAACTGCTTTGGCATGCAGCTAACGTTCACTGGGCCCGGTCACGGGAGAGTCTCGACTGGTTAATCTATGCGACTCGTATCTCTTTGCCTTTTGGCCATCCTCAGTACATGCCCACGTGTTTGCCATTCATTAGCGGTCATATGCAAATATCATACATCATCGTCATTTGTAAGCCTTGCACTTGCATGGATCAAAACACGCAGCAAACTAATCATCATATTTCAGCTGCGAAAGTTTTTGCAGTGAAAGAAACTCTTTGACGTAATTATTTTTCGATTTTGGCACTTGCCAAAGTGAAATGCCAGCCAGACACGCAAAGGCCAAGCAAATAATATTGAAAACAAAATAGACAATAAAAGAAAGAAAAACAAAAAAAAAAAAGAAGAAAACAGTTGCGTTTTGATTTAATTTTTTTTCACTTTTGGTTTTATATCTCTGAATTGGATTTTTGCAAGTAGGTCGCAACCGGCTTTTGTCTCCGCCTGACCTTTTATCACTTGTACTGTCTCGCTCTTCCCCTCTCTCTCTCTCTCGCTCTCTCTGTGTCTCAATCTGTTGTCGCCTGCCTCACTAGTCTGCTGCTGTATCTGTCGGCATTTCTTGTTGCCAATAATCTTTCGTTATAGCCAAATGTTATGTCATTTTGAGCATCGAACCGGTTGTGCAGCCTCAGCCTCAGCCTCTGAATGTTCCCTGGCATTTATTCGACTTTAGGGCTTGCCTGTTTTTTATTTTCGTGCCATTTCTTTGTCTGCCTCTCGTTTTGCTTAGTAATTTCTGTTTACGTCTGCGACTTGATTGTTCAAGCTAAATGTGAGCTGGCTTATTATAATCTTGCATTTCGCTCAAGAGGATGTTCGACGCTATTGGCCGATTACGTGATAAAGTTGCCCAAGTGGCATATGGAATTACAAGTGGGTCTTTACGGATCTTGTTATTTCGTTTAAAGATATCGCGAGCAGTCAGTGAATACTGTGAAATGTGGCTTTTAGCTGTATGATACTGTAACGATATATTTAACTAAATAATCCTTGGATTTATAATTCACTTAAATTTCCCGAATTTGTCTTAATTTTCAGTATGCAATTCCGAAAAATATGCTTAGCTTTGATATAATTTAATTCATTAAATCCTACTATGTTGTAATTTCCCTTGTCTGTCCTGAGTTATAGCAAACAAAAGATTCTGATGATCATTTGCATAGCATATTGTTGAAGCAAAGCAGCGCTCCATGCAAAACATTTAAGCACAAAGAGAAAATAAAAAATAATGGAAAATATTTGTATAATTTAAACATGTGTTGACTACGTCCTTGTCTTTATACTTGTCAATATTTCAACATAACGCATAAATCGTTATGCGCACTGCATTTTACTATCTTTTATTTATCGCTCTTCATAAATGCTGTATAATTTCATAATTTGCTAGACTGCCTAAGCGTATCGATCATCACTTCAGACTGCCTCCGCTTAGCTCCACATTTTGCTACTGTTGAGTTGTGTTGAGTGTCTTTTGAATCGCAAGCAATTTCAAATGATTTGCCATTAAAATTGGCTCACACCGTGGCGGCTTCCTTATTGCCTGCCTTGCGTAGCAGCGAGTAATGAACATCGTTCTGGCAGGCTGGCAAGTGCTTGGATTATTCAATTTCAATTTTAAATTCAATTGTTTACAACTTAATGCTCCGGTGCGCATTTGCAAAGTTGGCACAATCGCCGCCATCGCCGCCACTGGCTGTAAAACGTGCCAATTTTCGCATTGGTCAAGACACGATCTGAACCGATACACAATCTGCGATCTACGTGGCTGAAAGAGGTCTTAGAATTGGCCGGTCGGGTTGGGTCTACCTGGCAATGGCCATTCATTTCTCGACTATTGTTTGGCATTTGATTTGCTCATTAATGCACATTTATATGCGGGCGCTTCTTGAGAAATGTCGGAATCGTGTTTTGCAAATTATTATGTATGTAAACCACATGAACGACAAAAAAAAAAAAAAAATAGCTAAGTAAAATAAAAGCAAAAGCAAAAGCAAAAGCAAGAGCAAACTGTTAAGCCTGGCACAAAGAAAGACTCAAATTTGTTGTTATTTAAAATTAGTTGTGGTTTTTACGCTGGCCGCTGTTATAAGAAATAAAATAAAAATAATGATAAATAAATAAATAACAAGTTGGTTGTTGCTTTTTGTTTTGTCGGCTTTTTGCAATTGCTAAAAATACAACGTTTTAAGCCGATTGTGTAAGGCTAATTTACACATGAATCGAATGGGCTTCGAAACACCATTTGAGCTGCCTTTCGGTAGCTGCCCCATACTGAGAGTTAAATACAAACGTTTGCTTTGGTTTTTTCTCTTTTTTATAACTTTTTTTTTAAGTCCAAGGTTAACATTAATTATTGATTTATTTAACATTTAGATGTTGCATGCGAGATGTGTGTGATTATACCACTTTTTTTATATGGATAAAATGCACGACCCAACCAAGTTTTTTTTTTTGCTTGATCAGTATGGATCAGTGATGAGATCAGCCTCAAATTAGTTTCTTTGACATTTGATTCCATTTCAAAATTGACATTTCCACGAAGAAGAAAGAAACAAATTATATTTATAGTAGTTGAACAAAAAATTCAAGCCAATTTCTATGGGTCTCTAAGATCGCCCTCTCCCCATCTCTATCTCTTTGAAGGGCTTTACGAAACCGGTCTGTACTTGGTGCAACATCTGCATTGCAAGTGGGCGTCACTTGTGTGTTGTAGAGTTTTTCAGAGTGGTTCCAACTCCAAAAGTAATGTTAAATGCCGTCGACCGGTTTTAAGGTGCGACTCTGACTGGGGCAGGCATTAATCCAAAGAAATTGACGCGGCATACAAATGTAAGCCACTAGAAAAGTGTTTTTTTTTTGTCTGTCTGTTTTTTTTGATGATGGGGTAATATCGGCTTTGAAGCCAATCCTATGTAATACTGCCAGCTTATTTTCAATTGTCAGTCTTGCTGAATCATTGAACCGGCATTATAGTACAACACTCTGAGTGCTTCACTGAGCACTCAAGCAGCTTAAGTCAACACTCAGGTGTCTATTTCTGCCGATTTTCTATTCATTTAATATGTTTTGCTATGGGAGTACTCTCGCAAATCTTAGACATATGCAAACCTTTCACTCTTTTTGCCATTTGTCCATAAGGTCTTTACAATTTTTACAGCCTTTTAAGGCTGAAGTACGAATTCTCGTTGAAGTATGGCTTATGCAATAAATTGCATATATTTCTGTTTCAAAATCTGCTTAAAGTTAAACCGATTTACTTTAATTTCTATAGATTTAATTAATTACGACTTACCGCAAGTATTCTCATCGGAGCCATCTGAGCAATCCTTGTCGCCGTTGCAGAAGAGACCACGCTCAATGCAGTTGCCATCGCCGCAGGCGAGGAAACCATCCTGGCAGAGTGGCTCATCTGTGTGCAGCAGAGGCTTCACACGACGCTCCTTATTCTTGCTCTTGCAGTTCTTCACGGACTCCTTCCAGTCGCAGGTCTGCTTCTCAATGTCGAAGTACAAACCGGCTGGGCAACGAATCGCTTGCAGGCCCTAGAAAAGAGCAAAAGACCAGATACATAATCCAAAATGGTTAGTTTTAGATGCATAAAGTGGACTAAGAACTGGGTAACTGGCTAACTGGGTTTAACCTACCGATGAGGTGCACTGAATGACATCGCGACAATTGTCGCCTTCGCCAGCCACCAAACGGAACCACTCGCCGGCATCTTTATCCTTGCACAGCTCCTTCTCGAAGGATTCCTCCTTCTTGGGCTCCTCGGTTGTCGCCTGACGCTTGACACGCACTACTTCAGCATTGGCTGTAAATCGATGGGGGATCAAAATATATACATTACAATAATATCTTAAAATGGCTTAAAATTTTCCAATATATTTTCCTGCCAGATCAAATGATCGTATCTTAGCAAGAAGATTTCGAAATCATTAATGAATGGGTCTCTGCTCTATCAGAAACATTGTTCAGTCGCTCAATTTGCCACATAAAAAACGAGACGACCTTAATGATTTTATAAGTACTTAAAGCTTTAGACAAGTTTGGGTAAAAATCAACTTGAATGCTTTGAATCTTTGAGATTTGAAAACCGGAAGAATTTCAGCTCATATGCATTTTGGTATTACAAATGTGGGTTGGTATGCGTCGTTTGCCAGGCACTTCCTGCTATACATAAAACAAAATCAAATCCAAAAACAAATAAAAAAATCATGGATATACATAGACATAGACATAGACATATGTTGATGCAGTCCGGGGCGAACGGCATGTCGTTTAGCTGGTTGTACCTCTTGGGGTTGGCCAAAACACGTTTGCCATTATGAAATACGATGTCACCAATACCAATGCAAAGAACAACACACAGACCAAATATATATATACATATATACATCTATGCATATAAAATGAAATACTTGTTGCGCTTGGCTATAACTTTGACATTTCGCAGTCACAGTTGGCAACGAAGTGAGAGAAACAGTTGCCATATTTGCATAACTGTTAACGGTTAATTGACAGTCGACCAGGCAGCAGCAAGCAGCCAGGCAGGCAGGCAGGCAGGCAGACAAACCAAACACCGCTGGGCAAATTATATACATCAGATACTTGTGTATCGACATGAATGTACTTTACATCAGATACATTGATCGATGGCCTGTCAAAGTCAACAAACGCATACCACAAATGTCTGCATCGAAATCGAAATCGAATTCGAATTCGAATTGAGCTGAATGCTGGGCACTCAGGATCTCCCAAACCCTATCAAAAAATGAAAGTTGTTTTGCGACTACAACAAGTGATTGCTATTGCTCTTAAGCAATAACGATTACGCGTCCTTTTTCGCACAATCAAGGTTACAAACAGGCTGCAACTGTTGACCATTTAAATTGTCTCATAGTCAGCTTTCAGTTTGGTATTTTTTTGAAGGCCAGTTTCTGAGATTTTTTTTATTTATTTTTTTTAATTGATTGACAACTTCCGCTGCACAAATGCAAATGCATGTCAGAGCTATTATAAAAAACTAAGACTATAACTATTTTTTTTAAGTATATGTACTTAAAAATTTAATTCTTTTAATTTTGTGCTTACCTGCCCCAATGGCCGCCAAAGCCAAAACGGCAAAAACTATAAAAATTTTTGCCATTTTGTTTGCCGTCTATTCTGATGATTATTTCACACGCACTATTTCTGTTTTATTATCTTTAGTTTTTTCTATATATTTTTTTTTTATAAAGAAAACACTATGTTCAAAACACTCGGCTTGAGATCAAATAGAGCAGCAGTAGCAGTTTTGTCCTTCCGTTCGCTATCAAAGCTCCATTTACACTGTTGGCTACGATGTCGCGCACAATTTCTCGAAGCTGACGCCAAAGCCCCAAAACCAACTCAAATTTGCTTCTTTTATTACACGCGACGGGCGAGCGGCGACGTCGGCGACGCTCTTGCCGTTGATTTGCAGTTGGACGCCGTGGTGGGTTTTGGAAAGCGTTTGCGAGCTTTCGAACAGTTCAAACACAACCACCACACACACACACAACCAGTATTAGCGGTAGGGGCAACAGCAACACGTTCCACACCGAGTCTGAGCTTTAAAACGGCTTTTGTCGTTTGGTTGCACAAATGCCGTTCAAAATACGCTCGTGACTTGACTGTCGCCTCAGAAAGAGAGAAGTGCGGCACGTACGCGCCACTCTTTTATATGCAAAATGGCAGCAGTGAGGGGTATATTAGTGTCTGCGTTGTCTGTGGTGAGTAACAGCTGCAGTGTGTTGAGCAGACCCGCTGTGGAATGCATCTGTGGATAGCATTCGCACCATTTGCGACTGCTGCTTATTATTATGCAAATTCAATTCTTGACTTGAAGTCATAAGCTTTGAGCGCTTCAAATCGCCTCTGGCAAATTCCAGAAAGTATGTCTTAACCAGTTGCAATGTTATGGGCGTACCCTCATTAAAACTAACACGTACAATTCACCCACATTTATACCCACCAAAACCACCAACAAGCCAGAACAGTTATTAACAGAGTGCCGACGATTAAATACCCTTACTGGTTCCAAGCAGTAAAGCTTTGTTTTTTGAATTCTCAAAAAAAAGATACAAAATGTTCTTAATAAAGTTAACCCATATATCAATTAACATTCAGTGGGGATAATTAGAATACATGTTCGAACTAATAACCTAGTAACTGAATTTTCAACTTATTTTTTTATTTTACTAAATTAAAACTTAATATAATATTGCCTAAGCATAATGTCTTATTAGCGAGGCCTTCGACTCAACCAATTATTTCAATAGTGTGTATTATCTGTTTTACACTCACAAAGTTAACTGAAACTTGTAATTGTAAAATCTGTTTTTATATCAACAACCAATCATTATTCGACTAAGAGTCAAAAAAATACATTGCTATACAGCGAAATATCTTAAGAACGGTACACACATAAATAGATACATAAAATATTTCATACTGCTTTAAACTTTAAGAAAGACATTTAAAATATCTCGCTTATAACTTGTCGGCTTATAGGATGTGTTTTTTTAATTATATACAATAAAAATTCGATCGTTTAACCTCTGCATCTTTAGCAACTCCCACGGCATTTTTGTACTTTTGGGAAACTTGAAGTTAGCTGCTCACTTATGTTTTAGACAACTATTTTAAATTCAATCTTGTCATTTTTATTTTTATTGCAAAACGGGTATCACGATAACTTATTCAATAATAAAAAAAAATCAGATCTAAACTTGAATTAAAGTGTTTCCGAAAATAGTCCGTTAAGAGCTAGCGGATCTCGCCTTGCATATGCTGGCATTTCTATCAATGCGGGTAGATGTCGTTTGCTGGCGTTATGTATTTCCAATTAATATATGCTTTTTTTCTTTTGTTGTCATCGCTGTGACCTTGATCAGTTTATAGCCAAATTAAAAACAATAATGGCCCATAGACGGTGGTTGCTAAATGGCGGAGAGGCGTCTAAAGGCGTGACGAACTGCCAACGTCGTCGCTTCAACTTTAAAGTGTGCCAACGTGGTTTTTTTCTTGCTGCTTGTCATTCGCATTCGGCTAGAGACCTTTTTCAGCTGTCATTGTCTATTTCGAGTTTTTTTTTTTAGATATTTCTTCTTCTGTTGCTTTTTTTTAAATTATAATTTTTTTTTTCTTTGCCACACTTGACATTTGCCAAAGAGGAGTAAAAAGTCAGACAACACGATTTTGACTAGCGCTTGGATTTACATTTAAAATGAATTATCGAATAATTTTTGGCTGACCGAGGAAACTTTGTACGTCAATGGCGGAACCAGTTTTCGTTCATCATTTAAATGTGATTAACTGTTTCAACAGAACTCATCCACAAAACCTTAAATTTCGTGCGAAAAACCTTAGTTGCCGAATTTGCAACACTTAATAAACTTGAAACAAAACAACTTTAGTCCAAATTGCTACTTAGGTCAGTTCTAAGCATCTATCATGTGGTTTACCCGTGTTGTACATCATGCCAAGGATGATTAATAAACTAAAGTGCCACGCTGTACCAGTATGCAACAATAAAAACAATAAATATTCTTGGCTACTTGTTGTTTGAGCTCTTTAAGCAGTTAATCTTGCGGTTAGTCACTCTTCTGTGTGTATTGCATTTGCTTTGTGTTAAACAAACCGTAAATTTATAGTGTAAATATCTTATGCCTTAAAGATACACAATCCAAACATTTATTTTTTATTTGTTCTCCGGACCGCAACCTTTTCCATTTTAAATACATCAAAACTTCACCCACAAACGGGTTTATAACCTGGTTACCATTTCATAAAAACGAATATCTGTTCAAAATGTCAAAAGCTGATCAATAAATAAAAACTTTATTGGGTATCTTGGAGTATCTTGGCCAAGCATATTAATATTATACTATTTGCATAACATGCAAACTCAAAACTCAATATTATTAAACATTCCATTAAAACAAAAAATGTTTCAAATTAAACTCATTTGAAATGATTAACAAACGCACACCGAAGCTTTGTTACTTTAATTTTAAGACGCTAGGTGGCGCTAAGATTTCTTGAGCCAAAGCTCCAGCGACTTCAGTTAAGATTTAAATATAAACAGAAGACATGCTTCAAAAAGAAAGTTCTGAAAATCGAACACAACTTTATTTGTGTTATATTATTTGGCCAAGGCCTCGTACAAAAGGCAAGAGTATATCTTTCGCCAATTTATTATAGCTTGCCAACACCCCAAAAGAGACCGCACTCAATTATATTCCAATTATATTTCAATTATAGACTTTTATTACGAAAATTGTAAAGTTGTGCCACGTCTGCCGCCACTTATGTCCTTGGCAAAGTATTAAAACATAAAGCCCTATGTCTGCCTACGTACATACAGAACAGAACAGAACAGAACAGAAGTGGTAAGTATTTTTAGTGCCAGCTGAGCGGAGCGGACAAATTGCTTCGATGACCTTATGTATGCATAAATATTGCAAGCTCTGCTTTGGCTGTTAGCTAGCTAGTTGCCAGTTTCAAGAGCAAGGCAAGGGCCTTGATGTGGCAGAAAAGTATTTGGGAAATTCTAAGGACAAAAGCCAGCATGCAATAAAAGCTCGACGGTGCAGCAATCCCTCATTCCCCCGTTCCCCTCGTCCTAAAATTGCTGGTCAACAGGTTGAGGCGAAAATACAATTTCCACGGCTTATATGTGTGTGTGTGTGTGTGTGTGCAATAAGCTTTTTTTCCTTCATTTTGGGGTAGCCATGGAAATTCAATTAGCAGCACAGGCGCTAATTGATGGCGCATTGAAAAGCTTGCCACTTGTTGAGATAGGCAGCATTGAAGCAACGAGGCGACCTCACGTGCTATGCCACCACACAATAAAAAGCTCAAGCTCGGCACGTGCCGTGAAAGAAAGCGAGAAAGCACAGCAAACACACACAAACTCAAATACAAACGCAAACACAACTACGAATGCAACTACAAACACGAGCTCCTCGCCAGAAAGGAAGCTTTACACGAGCCTCGGCACACGCAATTGAATTGTCGACGGTCGACAACAGTTTGTTGCTCAACCTGCACGCCAACGGACGTCTAATCCAAAAGAAACGGATCCGAAACGCACACACAGAGTAACGGCTTTTTCCCGTTTTAGTTAATGTTTTTTTGTTGTTCCGTCTGTCGGTTCGTCGTCGTCAGCCAACGGTCAGTTGGGGAACGGAGTTAAGCTCGCACTGTCGGCACAACAAAAAAAATATTAAAATAAAAAAAAATCGAAGCAACAACAACAGTAGTGGAAAAGAAAATGGAGTTAGTGGAAATTCCGTGAAGTGAATGAAGTAAAGTGAAGTAATGCGAAGCTGAAAAATAATTTGATTGTCTTGTGTGCGCTGGTGCATAAGGTTCAATAACATAATATCTCTAAAGGGTAAAGAGTGACCAGGGAATGGAGGAAGAGAAAGAGAGAGAAAGAGAGAGAGAGAGAGAAATCGCAAATGGAATAAATAAAAGTCAGAATTGCTGCTGCATTCTAAAGTCTGATGGCAATCAGCTGTTTGCCTGTCTGCTAATGACAGGAGTTTACCCAGCGGGATATTCGCTTCGGTAAACAGGCAGCAGCAGAAAACGTGACTGCGACCAGATAGTCTTTGGTCTGTGGTCTAATCTCTGGCAAGGTATTAACAGCAGTTACTGCGCTAATTTTTGGCCAAAAACCTTTTTACCAATTGCTAAGTGGTTTACCAGTAGGCCATCTACTGGTCTACGGCCACCAGCTGAGACATGTAATCAACGAGACCATCAACAATTTTCGTTAGGATGTGTATCGTGACAAAGTCCGGACTCGCATTGGGGCATGTCACAAGGAGCACAAGGTCAACACCGAACTGACCTGACCTGGCCAACCAGCTAAGTAAGGTCTAATTTTTTGGCCCATCGCAAATGGAGCTTGGGGCTTGTCTTAGATTAGCTTAAATGAAAATTAAATTATACTGCTATCACGACAAATTAGATGAATTAGCGCATTTAGTGGATAAGGAAAGCACTTTTAAAAGGAAGAAGACTGAACAGAATTCTTGCCTTACGTAAACTCTAGTCTAGTAGGCATTTAATGAATCCAAGTTATAACACAATTATAGATTATTCAAAATAGGTGCTTAATATAATTGATAAAAGATGAAGTTGAAAGTGAAGATAAATAAAGTTAAGAAGTATAACTCTAAGATTTAATCATTTCATGCACTCTTAGATACTAAAATTCTGTAACAATCTAATTTAACGAGTTGAGTTTTAAGCAATTTTGGAAATTAAATATCGAGTACCCAAATCGGTACGGTTTTCAATTTGAGAGGTAATAGGCGTACCATAAAAAAAGTACCTTAAATCAGTTTGTTGCTCGCACAATTAGGCACAATTTATGGCAAACAAGTCTTAACAAGAAAAACCAGTTCCACAAAAGTCGTGCAAAATATTCTCATGCAGACTTTTAGTATAGGCCTATATATGGTCCTTAAAGCCATGCAGCCCCGGGGATATTCTGTGCTCGTAAACCAAGGCTATATGCATTTGAAATGGCCAACGTTCGTTCGCGCAACAATGAAGGCAAAAGTAAACAAAAGAGGCGTGCCCAAAAAACAGCAACAACGACAATTGGTGAAATGGCAACAAAACAGAAGAGCCAAAAAAGAACACACACACACAAAAGCACACACAATTGTCGCAGAGGCTAACAGGGAGTGGTGGTGAGGGGGTTGGCGGTTGGCTAGTTGAATACGGTTAAAGCATTTGGGGCGAGTACATGACGTCATTAAGCATATTAAATGAGTTTACACGCGCACTGCTGCACTGCATACTCTCGCTGAGGCATGTGAGCTGATGTTGCTGCTGCTGTTGCTGTTGCTGTTGTCGGTTACTGTCGCTGTTGCTGCCGTTGGAGCTGGCAAATGGTGACACTGAAAAGCCATTAACAAACGCCTAATGACGCACTCGAGACACAGACGAGGGGGAGCAACGAGCTGGTTGGCAGTGGGTTTTTCTCTCTTTTTTTTTCTAAATATAAAATACACTCGTATGTGCATGTGCATGTAAGCTGGGGTTAATCAAGCTGATAATGAGAATGTTGAGCGAAATGACAATTAAATGGACATGCGGGAGGTCCCCAGTGCAATTACTGCTGCTATTACCTGCCACAACGCCCACACACACTCTCGACACTTCTCTCTCTCTCTCTCGCACTCTCACTCATTCTCACTCTGTCGCGCTATCAACGTGTCGTGTAATGAAATTGAAATATTAAATATTTATCTAATGCAAGAAAAATCACATCATCTTTTGTGGGGCCATATAAAATGCTCAACAAAAGAGCAATTTATCAGCATCCCAAAAGTGTGCTCCAAAATGTGTGAAAACCAACACCGAAAACAACAACAACAACAAGACCAATAACAACAACAACAACTTTAATAACAAGAAAAGCACACGCGTACAATTTGTCAAACAGGAAACACTCACACACACACACCCCCCACACACACACACACCTGCACACACACATCAAAAGCAGCGCGTTGTGATCTGTTTTTGCGTGCGGCTAAGAAACGCGCGCGTTTTTTAACGCTTGTTCTTCAATGATGGATCCAGACAAAGGATTAAAACGTGTAGCATGTTAAATGGGTAAGTTGTGCACAGCTACCCATTGTCTGTCCCTCACAATGATATGGAGTGATTTTTGAGTTAGTGTTGACCCACGTGACGCACACGTTTCCCCAATGAAAGTTGTCGAGTTAGCAAAGTGTGGTTGCCACTGTGTGTATATGTGGAAAGTCTGAAAAGCACGTGTAACTTATAAAATATGTACGTCCAATACATATTTAAACAACTAAACACACACACACACACACACACATTGAGTGGTGTGAGAAGAAGCAAAAACGGGATTGAAAACGACGCACACAGACCCAGTGAAAATGATGGAGGGAGTGTTGGGAGAAATTTTATCTTTGCTTGTGTATCAGTGTCAGTCAACGTTGCATGCCATTTAGACGCATTTTCCATATCATGCTTGATATGTCCGTGCACGTGTGTGTGTGTGAGTGAGTAAAGAGATTTTGTGTACAGGAATTTTGGTATGAGCCCAGCCCAGGTTTTTGGGTTGGGCCTTTCTTGACCTGCTTCGCCAGCAATGACAAGCACTATCCTTTTTACTGCATAATGTCGATCAAAAACGAAATGAGTCCAGAGGAATCGCACACTAACTGACGAAATGTGAGGACAACCTGACAGACAGTTACGTGAAAATGCTTTTAACTAAATGCCCAGTGTTGAAAATGAATATTTGTTGGATTTCAATGTTTGAAACTGCAAATTCCAGATAGCAAAATATAATTTAGTTTGAAATATAAGTCAGATATTTCTGAAAACTTGTTCACCTATATACATATATATATATAAGCCTGAGAGCTTAGATAATAATTATTTAATTTATGCGGCAACTGTGAAGTCAATTTTAGAATGGAAATGTTAACAATTAAAGACAATCTAATTCGCTAGAATATTGTTGACTGGGTTGCAAGGATCTTTGTAATTATCGATCTATGTTAAACAGTAAGCGGTAGGCAAAACTTGAATAAAATATGCTGTTGGGTCTGCTCCGGCAGGATTATGCTCCAAAAATAACTGCAAGAAAATCCTCAACAAAATTCCAACCCAAACCGCAAAACATGCAAAAATAGCAACCAACAAAAATTCTTCATTATTGTTATTGTTGTTGATGTTTTTCTTCTTTTTTTTTTGCGTTACTCTATGAAGCTTTGAATCAGTAATTAAAAGCAAATCCATATTCATTTCGTGCCTTGTGAGCGCCCCCCCAAAATGGCCGCACGAGAGTATGCTATAGAAAAGGAAAGAAGAAAAAAACGAAACCAAAAACCGAGTCGCTGAATTGCACGGAAGTGAGGTGAAAAGCAGGTGCAAGTAGAGTGTGTGGCATGTTGCAGTGCATGGGTATATGTTGTGTGTGCTTTGCACGGACAGAAAGGACAACACTGCCGGAGCAGCAGATAAGCCACCAGGCTGAGTGCCTGCCAGCCTTACTGTTTGCCTGCCTGCCTACTTGCCTGCTTGCCAGTATATTTATGTGTTTATGTGTCTGTATGCCCTGCCCGCTACCCGCTGCCTGCTACATGTTTGCTTAGCCGCGAACAGGAGTTGGACTCGTTTAGTGTGGCTGCTTCTGGGCTGTGGGCGCTGGGGTCTGAGGTCTGAGGTCTGAGGTCCTTTGCTCCGGCCTATTTACAGGCCTTCACTTTGCATGTTGCAAACAATTTGCCGCCATCGCGCTGAGCCCTGGCTGGCAGGCACAATAGTAGTCCTGTCGCGGTCGCCTTTTTCCTGCCATTTAGTGCCACAACAGCAAAATGTTCGTGCGACTAATTTGTGAAAAAAAAATCCACAACAGCTACTGGCACGAGACGTTAAAATCAACGGTCCGCACCATTAAAACGGGGCCAGCAAAATGCGCAACTCGCTCGTTGTTAATGACAAATAAACATACAGAATAACAACACACAAACAAAACAAACAAAAATGTGACAACAAAAAAACAATACTGACAACAAAAACAACAACTATAATTATCTGCATATATGTATGTAAGACGTGTGTATGCGGTTGTCAATTGAAAAGCCAACGCACACAAATTGCGGTAATCGCCTGCACAACGCTAATAAAAGAAAAAGTGTAAAATATGCAACAATTGAAAAGGCTTTTACGACCCCCTACAGAAGCTCCCACTGACTGTACCATCAGCCAATTACAAGCATATGGAGCACTCTCCAATGACATGTAAGCCGCCTCCGCAATTTTCGTCAGACACCGAAAAGTATGCTATATATTTTCACATTAAATAATCGCACTTCGCTTGTACTTTTCGGTGCGAAAGCAAACGACGAAAAACGCGTGCAACAAATAAAATGTATAAGCAAAACCGAAATGTGACTAAGCAGAGATAAAGTTGCGGGTAGCAGAAGACAAGGAGACAAGCAAAATCTGTGGGCGGCAGCTATTGGTTGGCCACATAAAAAAAAACGGAGCGGATTTTGGGCATTGAATTTAAGTAAGAAATACTTCTGACAGCTTGGAAATCTTGAATGATATTATACATAAATCAAAGTATGCGAAACACAATTGTTATAGACCGAAATCTCTTCGTTAACTTTGTACACAAGCAGCAAATTAAATTTTATTTGGCTTGCTAGATATTTGAGCTGATCACTTCATATATACACATACATACATATATATATATATATATTGATTGAATTGAATTGAAAATGTGAGCAAACACCCTCAAACAGTTTGAACGAACTATAATTAAGACTAATATTCGCTTTATAAATTAAATATAAACCAGTGAACTCTTTAAAAACTGTTCAAATAACATTCAAAATGTCAAGGTGCAATTACGAAAAATTGCTGAATAAAGCCTGACAATGAGATTTGCATTTTTGATAGGCACACACTTTGGGCACTCTAAACAGTTTCAAAAACACATATTCGGAAAATGTTTCCATGACCGAGGGCATCGAATTTCGTTTGAGTGTGCTGAAAGCACATATTGTGCGAAACAAATGCAAAGCAAACCAGCCATAAACCGATTTTGCCAACTTTGCTAACAGTGATTCGGGTATTCAACGCATCGCACACGTGCCCCATTCAACAAAACCCCCTGCAGCAGCCATACGTCCCTCGAGCGCCATCTGTAAAGGGCAAGTTGAAAAGCTTTCTTTTTGCTTATAAATAGCCAACACTTGAAGTGTTTTGCTGCTCAATAGATAACCAGGGCCATAAATTACGCACCAAGTGCTAAACATAACGAGCCAATTTGAAGAAAGCGGCTCCAGTATGAAAGTGACGGTAATTACGTACGCTTATAATTAGCATACAGATTACCCCGACAGATGAAAAGCAGCCGGAAGTTGTAGGAACTGCTCATTGAGATACGTATCACAAAATGAATGTATGTAAAATTATGAACTAAAATTACAAATTAATTGAAACGAATGAGAAACTTTTGCTGCAAATTCAAAAAACAACAGCAACCCATATACAGAGTGAACTAAAAGTCGCATACATAACAAGCACATAAACATTTCAATTATGTTGCTGTGCGAAAACTTTTTGCGGCGAGAGTTTCAAAAACTTTTATAATTAAGCAAATCTCACTCGTGCTCTCAGCAGCAGCAGCAGCAGGAGGCGGTGGGAGGGAGGGAGAGAGGGAGGGAATGGAGTGCTTTGGTAATTAGCAGGCAAATGTCTAAACAAAGCCAGAACTCTCAAAACAAATGAGCCACAGCAAGCATAACAATACATGAAATGGCTGCGGGAGATGAGAGTGAAGGTGAATGTATTTTAGGGGGCCGCAGGGAGGGAATGGGAACAATGAAAGAGGAACAATGGTAGCAGGCCATTTCCGGTAGACATGTGTGTGCACGCGGCAGTCGCCAGGGGGCGCCGGAGTGCTCTCTGTGTGTGAATGCAGCAACAGTTTGTTGCTTTGTTTGTCTGTTTGCCAGGGCAACAACAGCAATAACAGCAATAACAACAAGAGCAACAACAATAACAACAACGACACCGACACGCTCATAAATTTTTAATTAAATTGTCGTTTTTATTTTGTGCCAGTGACAATGCATAGGAAAACGCACTGATTGCCTGCCTATATGGCACTGTAATCGAGTATGGGGCTTACCTAAACATACATACATGCATACATACACACATGCACACTTACATGTATACATACATACGTAGACGCAGTTAACTTGCCATTCAATTGCTTGGCTTTATTTGCCATTTGCCTCGAGGGTAAACTGAGTTGTTTAACTTGCAATTGAGCGGTCCTCGTGGCAGCGAGTAAAATCACATTAAATATTTAGTATGAGCACACATTGGCTGTAAATTATCGTATCGTATGTTGGAGGACGATTATCCGAGTATCCTGCGAAACGGTCGATACACGGCATAGAATACTTTCATGAGGCAAACACAGCTTGCCACTAGTTTTGCCACTAATTGGAAAATATTCGATCTGATTTTCACAGTACACTTGACGTTTATCAATTAAATTAACTTATTTAAAACGACTCACATTGATTAGAATATTTGGCTTATTAGTGAATTCTTTATATATATATATATATACATATGTAGCTGTATACAAATCAAAGCTCAATCAATAACAGGCTTTATTTGCATCAAATCAACTGCTGAAACAGTGATAATCTGTACCAATTTTAATAAAACTGCCCAATAAAAATAAAATTCAAACTATTCTTATGCAAGCATTCGTGGATGTTTTATTCACTTTAATAGTGAATAAACGATTTAATTACATAAATGAAAGTTAATTTATCAGCTCCGTGCGATTAAGTTGTTGAGCCTGTTAGGCCACGCTGTCAAGCTAAATAATTGATCAGAAAAACAAAAAAGCATACATAAACTAAATTATTGATGAACAGAATATGCTGCTGTTTTTATCTATGAATGTAGGCGTAACTGTGTTGCCAACACCCACTCAATAAATTGTGTTGGCATTTATAGCCACGTGAGTTGAGTTTTCACGTCGACAGGTCAGGATTTGACCATTAAGCAGGAGGAGTAACGGTTGCGCAAGT